CCGTATCCGGCTGACCCAGTCATCGCAGTTGCCGAGGCTCCCACTCGCAGTTTGGTGTAACCCAATTGAACCGCTATAAGAGTGTATAGTTAGTTTGTCAAATCTTGTATTATTATTAACAATATGAAATCTCTAATGCTAATTATATAAAAGACCAAAGAGTGTTATAAATCTATTTGTTATATTTATTTTAATTAAGTTAGTATCAACTAGTGTGGAATTGTATATATTCTCTCTTGGAATTGCAGGCTAAGTGGTAACTGGATTGATAAGAATTGTTGCTAAATATGCTGCAGTAGATGTTGTAGTAGTATTTGATATTCGTTTTGTATAAATACTATGATAATTGTTGATGTTTAGCACCATTGCTTTGTTTACATGCTTGTCAAGTTCAGAATCAATAATTTTTTTATACTTTTCAGATACTGAAGTTTTATATCATGTAACTATATGAGATATAGTAGCTATACCTAAATTTGCAAATGTATCAATTAAAGTGTTAGAAGCACCAGTTGAATCTATATACAATATTAAGTCTCTCTTAGTATTATTAACAAATTTATTTCAAATCTTGCATAAAAAGTAACAAATAAATAAAAGTTGTTTTTTCACCCATTCCTGTGAATCTTTATTTTTTGGTTCAGGGTTTGATAAAAGATACAATTCATTAAAAAAACCCTTAACCTAGTATCCTCTCTTACTATAACTTTCTCAAATTCATTAAATGTATATATATATAGAAGGTTCTTTTTTTCTATTTTCTCAAACATATAAAATATCCATTATAATCTCTATTGCTTTAGAAAAAGACAAAGGGTTAGCACTTTCAGTTTTGTTAGCTACAACAGTTTTAAATCTTTCCATATAGTTAATACTCATAGTTCTAATCTCAATAGTTTTGGGTTGCTCCATACTAGCTTAAATATTTTGAAATCTAGCCAAACCTTGTGTAATTCCATTATAACAATTTAAACAGATCGTGTCACCTATATTAATATAATTAGGCAGAGTATTGTTAGCTTGTACTTTTGAAATAACATGGAGTTACAGTTTTCCAGTTGGTCGACTTTTTTTCGCATATAGTAATCGCACATGGGCCTGTAATTCTACTAGTAAATGGCATTTTTGTCTCCTAAGCAAAGTATGTCAGGGAGTAAGATGATTTAGAGATTATTTTGCACAGTGAATATTGACGTTAATTCGAAGTTAGAAATGGCTTTTTGTAGTGATTTTTTATTAGTGAAACGTTACGTTTTCAAAAAGTACTTTAAAGTGTATAAATAAGTTACCCGGGTAATTGATTTGCATCAACCAATCAGACGAATGCCCTTCTATGAGGTTAATTGGCTAATTCGATCTTCGATCTTATCTGTTATCTGCTATTTCATATTTCGCTTCGTTTTTTTTTTTACAATGGATTCAGAAACATATATAGCAAAAACTTCTGTTTTGACACCTCACAAAATATCTTTGCTTGTGCTACTTTCTATATACTTTGAGACTGCTATTGAAGATGAATTACTAGAAACGCTTTTGTTTTTTTTTGATAGAAAAAATATCAAATGAACATCGTTTCCCTGAGCCAACACTACGGGAATTTTGTGATGAAATTCATCAAAAGACTTGCCCATTGCCAAAAGTTTGCACAGAAATTCAACGGGAATGTAAATCATCATTAGAACAAGCCTTACTTACACATTTAGCATCAATGGAATCTCCTCACGACTTGATTGAACTTATAAAAGATTCTAAAAAACTGACAAATGAAGAAAATGACCCACCTCTTGGGAAATATAGTATATTAGGAATTTTCGTTCGGCGTTGTTACATTGAAAGCGAAAAATTGATGTTTGATGATATTAGCAGATTATATAATGCATTTGTTAAATATAAGACTGACAAAATCGTGTTTTCGAAAAAAGGAAAAGAGAATATGGATTTTTACTACAAGTCTGGTGAATTCTCTTCCATTCTTTCAGAAGTTTCACTTCGCTATCATATGTGCAAACAAGATCTTATAGCCAAGTGTGATGCAGAATCCTTTTCACATTACATAATTACTCAGCTTCGTAAATATGGAGGTATCTTACCTCCCGAGCTTGAAAGCAAACTTCGAGTGATACATAAAAGAATGCCCGAGATATCTACAATATACTATATTGATTACGTTAATTGTATGCAATCCGGCGAGTACGAAGGTGCACTAACTAATTTTTACAAATATTCGAATTTTTGTCCAGAGGACGTAGAGAACCGGTGGGTTGGTATGCTATTTATCTTGCATGCCATGACCATAATACATAACGTATAAACTTTATGATTAAATTATAGGAATTGGTATCAATATGTTTTGTTAAACTTGGTGGTCCTTCATGCAAAATTTGGACACAAAGAGCAAGCATTATTGGTTCGTGTATAACTTTATATAGTGTCTTTTTCTTAATAAAATAGTGCTACTTAATTCTGAGCATCAATAGGCTATTCGTGAAGCAATAGAAATGGCTCGAGAAAACAACGATCAAGAGTGCCTTCGTTTTGCATTGAGGTAAACATCTTTTTTATTGCATTTATTTCAAATATTGCTTAACTATAATGAAAGTTATAAACTGTAGTTGGCTGTATCGGCTTAAGTCAAATGAACCTACTACCACAAAACGGGTAGACGCGACTGATCAACAGATGCTCGATTCACTCATTAGCAAAGCTAAACAATCCAACTTCATCTATCTGCAATCACTTGGAGAGCTTGGGAACTCTCAACGTCAAATTCAACAGGTGAAATATAATAAGTTATGATTCACTTAGATTGAAGATTTAAATTTAGGCCATAATTTTACGAAGTTTCAACATTAACTTTTAGTTAATTCCAGGGTGCGTCACCAACGGAGGTTTTTGAATCTTTGCTTCGAAGCTCTATTTTGAATATGAATTGCCCATTCAAGACCATGCGCTTCCAGGGGCAATTATTAAATGCAAGTGTATGGCAAATTTATGGTATTTTATTATTTGTAAAGTAATCGTCTCGCATTAACCCAATTCATTATTAAAATTTTTTTTGACTTCAGGCAATGTTGCACTATCTGCCTTATATTCATCAGAAGTTATCGATCATTCTGATACTAGTCCAGAAGATCTTGTAACTGCCTATTGTCAGATGGCGGATCTTGTAATTTTTATTTAAACTCATTGTGCGGAAATATCAACTGTTATTTTTAAGCTATAATAAATGTAATATATTTTTTGATAGCATGTTTCATACGGTAATTATGAACAAGCTCTTAAATTGCTTGAAGAGTCTAAAGAAAAGTTCCTTGGAATACGTAGAGCAACTTTACAATGGGTTGTTTGCTTGGAAAAAGTTTTGTATCAAAGGTGCTTTGCAAGGTAAAAGGTTCTATTACTATAAACTAATCTAATCTCAATTTTTGCTATTCATTGTTTTTTTTTTTGGCAATTTACTAAATTATATTACTGATTTTTAAGAGATGAACGTGCAAGTATTGAAGCACTAGAGGTACAACTTCGAGGAAGCTGTCAGGATGACGAGGTTTTACATGATGACTTTAATTATAATCGAGCTTTATATCTGGCGAGAATTGACCGGCCCGATGAAGTGAGATATATTATTTGAATGAACTTCATTCCTTGAACTTTAATATTCGATATATCTAAAACTAAGAAATAATTTATAGGCAATGAATCTTTTACATGAGCTTATACAAAAAAGCTCCAGATTAGGTTCGCAAAATCAAATGCTAGTTGCCAATTATCATCTTAAACTTGCTGAAATCCGTATAGTATGTAATTTGTGCCTGAATACTATTATAACTAAATGTCAATAATAGAACAAATGCATTGCAATTTTGACGTAGGACACCGAGGATCCAACTTCAGCATTACCCTACGTTTTGAGTGCCTTATGCATAAGTGAACGATTTCATCATCAAAGTTGTTATTTCATGGCAAAAATACGGCTTGCTCAGATATTGCTTCATTTTAACTTGGCTGCAAGAGCAAAAACCATGATCGAAAATATAATGCCTGTTGTAAGTTAATCACAACATTTTTCACTTTAAAAATCTCCATCTCTTGACGATGATACGTTTCTTTCTTAATAGATTTTGGCAGAACACACCTTGCGCATGCAGTCAGTAGGACATTTCATTTATGCTCAATGCCTTCTTGGATGCATTACTCTGGATGTTAAAGGTAATAGTTTACTTCATTTGTTGAGAGTAAATTGAATGACGACTTAATATTTTAAGTATTATAGCACAACGTGAACAATCCATACCATGGAATGACGTTTTAATTCCTCTTCGCCGCGCACAAACAGGTATCATCATATTTCTGCTAGGTATTCGTAAATTTGATTATGTTTATAATTATCTTTTTCTTTCTCCTTGATCTGAGCAGGCTTCCAGCGTTTAGAATCCGTCCCTGAATTGATCGATGTTGTACAAGTAATAGTATACGTCTATAATGCATCTGGAGACTTGGTTCGGCGCGACAGTGCGGCTAGTTATTTCAAAAAATTGTATCTCAAACAACAAGAAAACCAAAGAAAACAGCCAGATCTAGACCGGTGTTATTGGACTGGAAATTGGAACCCCTCTGGACGTCCAGATTTTCCAGCGTTTCAGTAATTCCTGTGAAAAGTTCGCTGGAACATGTATTTTATTAACCAATGAAAATGCATGAATAGTCAATAATATTTTCTAATAAATTACTTCGCTGATACAATAGGTCCGTTCCAAACCATTTAATTGGTTAAAAAATAGTGCTAAGCTAAAAATTAAAAACATCAAAATGTCGTCGATTCAATTTGCAATTACCCAACCGTATTAGATCTTAATAAAAATTTTTAGTTCATGAGTAAAAGAATATCTAAGCCTGTTAGAACTACCCCAGCAGCACTGACAGATTTTTACTGATCTGCAATCTAGAACATTCAAATACTTAATTATGATTGGCTATATAAAAATTTTAAAACTATTAGCAAAGGTTTTTAACTACTTGATCAAATTTAGTGTACAATATCAAAAAATAATGATTGGCACTTCTGAATACTTTTAGAAAGGGTGTAACAAAAGTTTTTATAAAAAAAATATTTGAGATTATAGTCAAGAAGAACATATTAAGAGAATTAAACTTTGCTGTATTACTAATAAAAGAAGCAATTCATATTGTTAAAATGATAAAAAAGAATACAAAAGAAAATAAAAATAAGTTGTAGTTAATATTACAAGACATAAAGAAGATATATAATTTAGTATTAACTAAGATATTAGAGCTGGTTTTTTGTAAAATTAAGTTATTAACAAAAACAATTAACTTTGTATTAGATATATTTGATAAAAAAAAGTTAAAATTATTACAGAGTATAGAATAACAGAGAATTTTGTAACAAAAGATGAGGTTAAACAAGAAAAAACAATATTATAATTAATATAAAAGATATAAAACATATAAAAAGTATAAAGAGTATAAAGTTTAACAGGTTAGTTGTACCATCTAGTATGGGAATCTCAGTATATAAATACCAAGAAACTGGGAGGATTAAAATCCATTTGGAAAAACCTGAGTAAGAAGTAACTACAATCTTTGATAGTACTACAGAAAAGACCCAAATTTGGAAGTTAGGACTAAGATTAGAGAACCGAATGACAACAAAATTCTTTAGTAGGGGGATTTACCAACCCAACTGCCAATTTAGAAAAGTTGAAAATCTGTAAGGCCATTACAGAGTACACCAACCCTGGCTAGCTGGTATGAGAAACCGGTAGTGGAGGTCCTACCTACCAAGACTAGGGATTATAGAAGTTGGGCAGGAAACCAGTTAGACAAAAAAATGTCAAGTATATTTGGAGAACTAACCTACTAAATTGGAGAAAAAAGACATGTGCTAAGAAATCATATACCAAGACAAGATGAGAGCATTGATATTTAAAGATCAAATCTTTTGGGTTATTGGTTAGAAGTAAGAGATAGACTAATAAGAAAATAAAAGAAAAAGAAAAGATTTGAATATAGATATTGGGATTGGGATATGAACCTTATAAGAGCAAAAGCAGTTAAATAGGTAACAATCCAACTACAAGTGAGAGCCTTGGCAACTATGCAAAACCAGGTTGGCCCAAATAGAATAGGAAAAGCTCTAGTAGGTTTACCTTGTAAATAGCTATGTATCTGCTCAATAGAGGAATACAAGCTAGTAATTAGTTAGTACAAACCTAAAATAAGTTATGGAAGTTCTAAGTCAGGATGCACAATCTAGAAGAATAGGCCAAATGGTAGTTTCTGGGTTAGTATAATATGCTATAAAAATGGTTAGAATCAGAAGGTTTAAATATGTAACTTTCTAGTTGGGTTATAGATATAGCATCTAGTATAGAACCTGTAGATGGACTATTTAAATAGGTACTCAAAAGGTGCATATATAGCTAGTTGTATCTTTATTGTAACTATAATAATAAATAATTACTAATAAAGAATCATCATGGCCAAAGAGGTCACTTTAATACCAAAAAAAAAATAATAAAGTTTAACAGATATAAAAAATATAAAAAGTATAAAAGGTATAAAAGATAAAAAAAGTATAAAAAGTACAAAAGATACAAAAAGTATAAAGATATAAAAAATAGAAAAGATATAAAAAATAAATCTTTGATTATCCAACTAACTATTGGTTTATTTATAAATTATTATAGCTTATTATAATTATAAAAGTCTTTTGAATCTATAGTAATAGAAATATTAAATTTATTTTATAATATTTTTATTCTCTTTAAAAATAAACTCTGTAAACTAATAATCTTAAAAAGTTTTGGTTTAATAACATATTGAAACTATTAAACAAAAGATTTTAAATATAATAAAGCTATAACAATTTTCAATTTTAAAAGACTTGGTAAATTTATTTAATATATTTTTAGATATTAATAGTATTATATATTTGGATCTTAAAGAGGTCTTAATAGTTTTTCTAATTTTTTTAATAACTTTAAAGTTTTTTTTAAAGTTATTATAAAATTTGTCTAAATAGTAGCAAGCTTTTAAGATTCAAACTTGTTTTTTTTTTGTTTTCTTGTTAAATTATTTATTTCTATTTCAAGTATCAAATTTAAAAATTTTTTTTAAAAAAAAATTAAATTTTTACTACTATATATATATATAAATAAAAGTTCTAAATTAAACTATTTATAAATTGTTATTTTCTATAACTAAACTAATTTACTTTAATTTAAAATAATAAAAAATAATAATAAGTAATATTAAACAAAACAAAATAAATAATATTAGTTGTATAGTTTGGTAATATTATTATAGTATATTTGATAAACAAGCTACTAGTAGTATTTAAATATACAACTCTGCAAAAGTTATATATTCTAAGAGTATAGATATTTATCATCTGATTTTTTAGAAAGGAGAGAGTTAGAAGGATTATCAGGTGTTATATAATATTGTATTATTAGCTAATCAAAATTGCCTAATATAACTATATAAAATTTTTAATAATAATATAAAAATTATATTTTATATTAACCTTCAGCTATATTTTCTTGACAATATCTAATTCAAATCAAATAAAATTTTTATTAAAAATAGATGTAATATTGGACTACAATATATTAAAATTTTAGCTAATTTAAATTGGAAGTTTTTGGAAATTATCTAAAAACTCAAAGCAATTTTTAAAATAATTATTTGTGGTTTTTAAGCAATTTTTCAAGAACTACTTATTCAAATTAGCCAAAATTTTAATATGTTATAGCCAAATATAACTTATATATTTAATAAAAATTTCATTCAATTTGAATTATCTAAGTAGAGTTAGAAAAATTTTTAAAAGTAGTCTGAATTTGTGGTATAGCAAAAAACATAAAAAAGATAAGTTGTAAAAATTGACATTATGACTTTAAATATGATTTATAGCTCACAGAAATATTTTTTTACTAAAATAAGTATTGTAAGAAATATAGAAAATCTTTCTATAAGTAGAAAGATATATATTTTATTTTTGTAGAATCAAAACTTGTAGAGATATAAATAAAATACAATTGGGTATTCAAAATTAAAAAATTTTCTTTAGACATGTTTTTCCAAAAATAAAATACTATCAAGTTGATTATTTTGCTAGAGAAGCAAAATTGTACTAAGTAATCTATATACTATTTTAAAAATAATATCTTCTAGTTTTTGTATATAAAATCTAAAGTTGATTGATAAATATTTATCAAGATATAATGTTTTTTGAAGAATTAATTTTTTTTATAGTTTCTTAAAGAAAAAATATCTATAGCTAAAGTTTATAACTTATTTCTACTAGGAGGTATCAAATATTATAGTTTTTTTTTTTTTTTTTTTTTTTTTTTTTTTAAACTTAGGCAGTTTCACCAATACTTTATTAAGATTCTAAGTATATTACATAAAATTATATACTCGTTTACTCCTAATTTGCAAGCCTGATATCACCCGGCTACCCTAATGGCGCCCAAGTGCAACCCGCCACACTAATTTGAAGATTACTCTAAAAATTAGAGGCTGTGTTAAACCAGCCTAAGTGCCA